CCTTCCTTCCTTCCTTCCTTCCTTCCTTCCTTCCTTCCTTCCTTCCTTCGCCTGGCCCAGGTGCCAAGGAGGGTCTGTGCCCCCTCCCCACCCCCCACCCCCCTTGCAGCCCGAAGCAGGCAAGTACATTCCTTGCTTGGGCTTCTTCAGTCCTTCCTCCGGAGTAGTTTGGGGGGGGCGGGGGGGATTGTGTGCCTGCCAGGGCACATCCCTCTCTTGCTCCCCTGGGCGGTCTAAGTATTTTGTGCAATGAAGCCCCTGTGGGCTGCAAGCTCTCCAGCGGGCTGGATGCACCCCACAGGCTCCCCCGTGCCCCCCTCCCCGGCCCGGGTGTTGCCCACCCCCCTCTAGCTTGCCTTCCTGCAGAACCAGAGAAGCCGCCTGCAGGCCACCTGGGCCAGGCCCCCTCCTCTTCCTCCTTGGCGGTGCTGGAGATTGGCCTCAAGGCCAAAAGGATCCGGGGGCTCTTGGACTGATTCGGGGATGGGTTGTTGTTCGTTTGTTCGTTTGTTTGTTTTTGGTCTTCTGTGTTTTAAAGGAATTAAAAGCCGTCATGCATTCATGACCCCCCCCTCCCCGCTCCCCCGATGAATAAAGACATCCTTTCTTGGGAAAGCGTCGTTTGCCTTGCCAAAGGTTGGGCCCACCGTGAGGGCCAGCCAGGAGGCGGCTTGACTTGTGCCAGTGGGGGCAGCCCCCTCTCTGGGGGCAGAGGAGGAGGCAGCCCTGGAAAAGAGGGGCGTGGGGGGGGTGTCTCCTGCTGAGCCCCAACAGCATCACTGGCCTGTGGGGAGTGGAGCAGCCCCCTAAGAGAAGAGAGCCCCTCGCCCCTCCCCCTTCGGGGTGGGGGTGGGGCAAAAGAGGGCTTTGGCCGGGAGTTCCTGCCCGGCCTGTGGTAAAGGAAGCTGGGTCCAGGCTGGAAATGCTCTTGACCCCAGTGAAGACCCTCCTGTGGCTGACCAGGGTGCTCCTTCAATCCCACCCCTGCAGGGGGGGCCTTTTCTGGGTGCTGTTGGGAGGCTTCTTGGCCGAGGCCCTGTCCCCTCTCTCCCCCCCCCGCCCCCATCTTGCCCAGGAGGGGCAGGGGCGGAGTAGGATGGCTGTTGGCTGGCGGGGGCTGAAGCCGGCAAGGAGACAAATGGAGCCACCGAAGCGAAGCTGCAGCTTCTTCTCAGGCGATGCTCAAACGGGCTGAATGGATGGAATGCAAATGCTAGGAGCCGCTCGCTGGCTCCCCCGCTGGGGCTGCTGGGAGGGGGGGGCTCCTGGAGCGGCAAGCGCAAGGCCCCCAAAGACACTCTGTCTGCAGCCCTCCCCCCAAGCATTGAGCCAGCCACGGGGGAAGGCCGGAGCCCGCAATTATGCGCTGGACAGTGGGGAATGCTGGGCGGGACCTAAGGGTCCAGTTCCTCAAAGGGGCTGACACCGCTTGTGCAGGCGTGAGCCCTCAGACCCCGAGAAACTCTGCAGCCCCCGCCCCCCTCCATAACTGTTCTTCCTCTTCCCCTCAAGCACAATCCAGGGGCCCAGAGACCTCCGGGGCCTGCCTGGTCTGCTGCTCTAATTGGCCGGAGGTCCGTCCATCCATCCCTCCATTCCCCGGCAGGCCAGGGCTGGAGGGGGGGATCCAGAGAGGTGTGTGGCTGTTTCCTTCAGAGACCCTCTCTTAGCCCCCCCCCCTCCCCTGAGATCCTGCAGTGGTCCTTCCCCCGCCTGCTCCATTTCCCTTGGGCTCAGAAGGGACTTTCTGAACAAATGGTCCCATGTGTATTTTTAGAAGAGGACAACAAATCGGCAAAGACAATTACAGCGGAGATTCTGCAGCAGTTCACTTGCCATCCCGATTAAGCTGGTCACGCCGCCGAGGGTTGCGTTCTGTGCTTCTGGCAGGGCCTCTTCCTGGTGCGCTCAGAACTCTCCCTCCCTTCGGGAATCCCAAATTGCAGGAAGACTGCAGTGCCCTGTGGCTTCCCTCCCGTCCCCGCTGCGTTCCAGAAAACGTAGCCTGATCACTGGCCTTCCGTCAGGCTGGAAGGAAGCCCCCCCCCGCCCCAGGCAGCTGAGCCTTCTTCGTCCCAAGGGGCCACCGAAGTTTCTCCCGCTCTCCGTTTACAGCTCAGTGGTTTTCTGCGCTCGGTGCAAA